CCCCAGGACTCACCCTGTGGGCAGGGACAGCGGGGTCAGGGTGACACACCTGGCACCTCCCAGCAGCCCTGAGAGGGCAGGGGACCCTGTTGTGCCACACCATGGCTAAGGTGGGGCTGCAGGGCAGCAGGGATGTGCCCCACAAGTAATGGGGTGTGGGATGTGGGGCATTGGGGATGTCCCCACCAAGCTGTGGGAAAGAGGGCAGTGGGGGTATTCCACCTGCGACATCCCCACTCAGCCCTGGGACAGCAGGCAGCAGGGGTGTCCCCACCAAAATATGGGATATGGGGCAGCAGGAGCATAACCTTGAGCCGTGGGACATGGAGCAGCAGAAATGCCATTCCCCTACAAGCAACAGGACGTGGGACAATGGGGATGTTCTAACTGAACCCTGGGACATCAAGCAACAGGGATGTCCCCATCAAGCCATGGGGTGTAGGACAACGGGAATGTCCCTAAGTCATGGGACATGGGGCAGCAGGGACGTTTGCACTGATCCATGGGACATGGATGTCCACACCAAGTCATGGGATGCAGGACAGTGAGGGTGTGTTCCAGAACTGTGGGGCAGAGGGATGTTCCCCTTCAGCCCGGGGCTCTGCATTGAGGTGAATGGGGCTCAATACCCACCCTGCCACTCTGGGCTCAGTGCCACAGGGCCCCATGCCCTGCCCACACAATGGCCTCTTGGGTTTCCCTGCAACAGAGTGAACCCACTGCATCCCTGCCCTGCCCTGCTGGGCTCTGGCCACAGCTGGGTTTCGCTGAGCCAGATGTGGCCCCTTTGTAGCTCGTGCTGTACCTGTGCTGAAGGGTCCCCAGCCCTGCCTCGCTGCAGGACACCCCTGACCACGCTGAGAGGGTCCCCAGACCTGTGTAACCAGACCTGCTCCTGCCACACCAAGCATGGTGCCAGGACCTGCTCCCAGCCTAAAATTGTCCTTGCCAGCTCCATGTCCCTCTTTGTGCTACCCCCACCGCGGTAGCCCCGGTGCTGCCTCCGTTCTGCCACAGGCTGGGTTATGGGGGCTCAGCCTGATGAGGCAGCACACATCTCTGAGCTGCAGGGGGAGAGGAGCAGGACCACCACAGCCTGTCCCACCGCCACCCTCAGCCGGAGAAACCCCTGGGCCAGGAGGGCATCGCCCGGGCCACGGTTCCACACTCACCTTGGCGCTGCCGCCCGGCCATGCATAGGCTCCCGCGCCGCTCCCCCTGCCCGTCCCTCCACCTGGGCCTGAAGTATTTATAGCGGAGCAGCGAGCTGACGGCTGGCAAATATTTGGTAGCCGTATTGTAATAGTAGACTCGGTAAACAGAGCTGGGGTTTGCTTTAGCACCCAGCAACGGGAGAGCAGCTCGGGGAGGGACGCGGGGACGGAAGGCAGGGCTCACCTTAATGGTTCACTAGCCAGGGGATTTTCAAGTGTTGTCCCTGTAAATTCACCTATTAAATCGGCAGCCCCAGCTGCCAAACTGCCCGCACACTTGTGCCGAGGGCTCTTATCTCCCTGCTGATTGGAGGCGAAATCAAGCTTTGTCAAATAGGCGTAAAATTAAATTTCATGCTATTTTGACTCCTGGAGTAGGGATCTTCTGAAGAACATACTGCGTATCGAGCGATGCCTCTGCAAACAGGGGCTGCCGCTGCAGTGGGCAAAGCCTTTCTGTGGGGTACCCCCAGGTCCTGCACCACCCTCATGCAGCTTCAGACCACTCATCTCCAGCCTTGTGCCCCTTTGAGATGGATGTTGGGCTCCCCAACCAGCCCTGGGAGGGGTTTTAGAACCTGTGGATGAAAAGGTGGACATGCCAGGTGGAGAATGTCTGGGCCAGTCCCATGGCAAGGACAGACCTGTATGACACCATTTTCACCCTGCACTGTGGCCCGTGGCTGTGCTGGCCCACGCAGCACCTCCCCTGTGGGGACAGGGACAACAGCCATCAGCTCAGGTCTCAGAGAGGCTGTACCAGAGGTGCCATTTCTGCCTTGGCAGCAGGACGTGCCAGCGGGGTCATCTGGGGCAGCACAGAACAGGGGACACAGATGGCTGGGGATGCAGGGTGACCAGGGACACAGGATGGCCAGAGGACACAGCACAGCCTGCCCCTGACAGCCAAAGGGCACAGGATGGCAGGGGCCTGACACAGCACCCAGACCCTGTCACCGGTGTTGGGGACACTCAGGGAGTGGGACATGGGCCACTGGGCTTGGGGACAGCCACAGCCCTGCTCCAGAGCTGCCCTGCTCTCCTGTTTTTGAGTTGACCGCAGCTCTTGGTCTCCCCTTTGGAGCTTTCCCTGCCTCCTGCCCTGGGCACCGTGTTCTGAGGTGTCTGCAGTGCTGAGATGGGGTCCTCAGCTCCTGGAAGGGTGCAGCACTGGCAAGGAGAGTGTCCCAGCCTGGGCAGGGCTGTCACCGACCCGCTCCCCGGGCCGGCAGCCCTGGGGCCCCCTGCAGGGGCAGGGCTGGGCAGCGGCTCCGGCTCCGCAGAGCTCCCTCTCCTCTCTCACAGTGGCAACACACAGCTTGGCATTGCTACCGTCTCCAACCCCGGGAATCAGCCCTGGAAGCCGTGGTCCTTGATCTCTGATCCCCGGGGAAAGGCGGCTTCCTCTGCTGTCCCATCACCTCTGTCCCAGGCCCTCTTCCTGCAGGGCAGGTGATGGGGAGAGCTCCCACAGCCTCAGGGTCAGTCCGGCAGGAGGAAAGGGCTGCACTGTCCCTGTGCCCAGGTGGGAAGGGTCTGAGCGTGCTGGTGAGGAGGTCCAGGTGTGGGACAAGGTGTGGGGAGCACGACTTGGCTGCTGGCTCACAGAGTTGGTAGTGATGAGGTGTCCCGCCTCTATGGGAAGGAATAATGCACTTCAGGAACACCGAGGGCTCTGCAGGACCATTCCAAATGCGAGCAGCAGGGAGAGGCAACGCCCCTGCTCCTGCAGCAGGCTTGGGCATGTGGATCTGTCCCCATTCGAGTGCCCATGGTGGCCATCCCTGCTCCAAACTTTGCCAGGGCCGGGCACAAGGGGCTCCTGTCGCACAGGGAAGGGGTCTCCTGTCTGCAGAGAGCCCCGCAGACAAGCAGGGAGGTCGCAGACCCCACTCTGAGGCGAGGCTGATTCTGCTCGCCCGGGATGGTGAGCGGGGCGGCGGCGCAGCCCTGCCGGGGCTGGCTCACGCTGCACTTCCCTGAAAGCCGACGGAGCTTTAAATCTGGGGGAAAACCAGGCGTGGCTGCGGCAAACGGAGCATCCTGTACCAGGGCTCTGGCTCTAACCCTCGCTGCCTTTGTAGCCCTGTGGCAGTGAAAAGAGCGGGTGGAATTTCTCCGGCACAGGGAGCATCCATAGAGCAGCCGAGAGCTCAAGGTGAAGAGACAAAGAGGTAAAACTCATGGGAGTGGTGCGAGCTGGAGCTCAGAAAGCCAGGCAGGGAATAAAGCACACGGCAAAGCTCTGCAACAGCCCAAGCTTCTCTGCAAAACCACGGCCTCATCCTCCCCGCTAGCAGCTGGGAGAGCAGCCACGGACCGCCCAGTCCTGCACTGCCCCGGCCTCGGTGTTCTGCTGGCTGTACCCGTGTGCAAGGGGGTTCATCCCCTTGTCCATGCATCCACCCTGCCTCCTGCTGCTCCCGCCTGCCCCGGCCATGGATCTTATCATTCCCACCCCCGGCAGACGCTTTCCTTGCCCCACATTCCACCTCCCCACATTCCCCACGGTGGCCCCGTGCTGCCACAGTGCGCTGGGGACGGCAGCCAGCGCAGCCCGGGCCTGCTCCGGGCACCAGACTGTCCCCGGGGCGCCGCTGCGGCCTGGCTACTGTGCCCACACCCGGCGAGCCCCGGAACGGCTGGAACGGCGGTGTTGGGGTCCGGTCCCACCGCGACGGGCCCAGGGCCGTGCTGGGGCTGCCCCCGACCCTCTGACACCACCGCCCCTTCGGCCCGACCACGCCCCTTCGGCCCGACCACGCCCCTGTGACATCACCGCCCCTTCGGGCTGACCGCGCCCACCAAATCGCCCAGTCCAGCCCCGCCCCTCGGGCCCCGCCCCCTGGCGGACTACCCTTCCCGTCATGCAGCGCGGCCCAGGGCGGGGCCGCTTCCGCTTAGCGCTCGCCGCGCGTCGCCGCTGCTGAGGCCGCTGAGCCGCCGCCGCCGCCCCAGGCCCTTGTCCCGGTCTCGGTCGGAGCCGCCGCCTCCGGACCGGCCCCACCATGTCGGCCCAGGCACAGATGCGGGCCCTGCTGGACCAGCTCATGGGCACGGCCCGGGACGGTGAGTAGGGGCGGGCGGGGCCTGCAGGAAACGCCGCGGCCTGGCGGCCGCCTCACCGCGCGGGGCCCGGCCCGGCCCGGCTGCTGCCGCCGCTCCGGACCTGCGGCGCGATCCGCCCCCGCCCGCCCGGCTCCAGCCTCGGGGCGGCGGAGCGGGCCCGGGCCTGTCCGCGCTCGGGGCGGAGGGAGCCCGGGAGGGCCCGCGCCTGGCCGGCGGTGGTCCCGCCGCGCCCGCGGCCCCCAGAGAGCGCCCGGCGCCGCCCGGCCCCGCCGCTCCGGGCCCCGGCTGCCGCGGACAGGCTTAGGGCCGGCTCCGTGCCCGCACGTCCAGAGGCGCGTAGGTAGGTGTGCCTGCAGCGCCGGCCGCGCCGGGTGCTGTCCGAGACGAGAAATGTGACAGCCCGTGCAAAATACGGTCCCGCTGCGGTTTGTGTCTCCCTTCTGCGACTCGCTGGGTACTTAAATTCCCTTTGGCACGTTAACAGGGCTGTCCAGGCACTTTGCACTTTGTTTCGTAAGTGAATAAGTGCTTTTCTTTCTCTGTGTATTGAGTTGCTATTGAATTGCTTCCCATATTTTTATTTCATACAAACTGAACAATTGTGGCCCCTCTATTTTATTTATAAAGGTTCAGTGTATCTTTGCCTGCCTACATCAATCTGCAAGGGAGTTGCAGAAAAGCCTCATGTTCATCGAGCCGTGAGTCACAACCAATTTTTAAAGCTGTTATAACAAAAAAAAAAGTGTTTGCTTTTTTTCACAAGTAACTTTAAAAGTGTAGCTTAGAAAGAAAAAAAAAAAAAATCAGTAGACACAACATTATTCCTGGATGCTTGTGAATCCTAAACTATATTCATACTTTAGTATTACACATACCTGTGTCATATGCACAGATGAGCTTTAAAATTGTCACATACCATTACCACTTTGCCTTTACTTTTATGTATCATTCCCCTGACTTCCTTACTGCAGGTGTGGGCAAGAAAGCTTTTCCTTTAAAACTTTTCAACAATGGGCATAAAATTCTGCAGCTGAGGTCTTGAAGAATGCAGATGGGTATAGTATGTGTTGGAGCTCGCAGTGTGTATTGACTAACTTTGTTTCTTTTTTTATTATTTATTTTTTTGCTTTTCTGATATTGTCTCGTTTTAAGTGGCTCCTGAGTGTAAAATGTCCTCTGAGGGTGGGCTGTGGGTGGGAAGCACGTGGTGTGTTCCAGGCCAGGACCTGCCAGCTCCTTCCTTGCAGGGCCTGGGAGAGCACACCCTGCATGGTTGGGTTCCAAACCAAACAGACTGATGGCTCAATTATCACCTGAGCAAAGAGCAGTTGCCTATAAATTTTGCCAAGCACAGCCCTGTTTTGTGATCTGATAGCGTGGGGCTTGGTATCTCCCTGCCCCTTCTTCAAAGTAAAAAAAGAAAAGGGTGGAAAAAATAACAAGTTTTGGCTGGGAGCCAGCCTGTCTGTCTCCTTTCCTCTTCTGGCTGTGCTGCTTCTTTATGTGGATGACAGGCCTTGGACATTGCTTGGCTCACCAGCACTGTGTTTAACATGGTGTCCTGGATGAATAAATGCTAAAATAGTGTTTGTTGCCAATTATAAGTGTTCCAGAATATCCTGTTATCCTCTAAGATATTTCTTTTTTTTTTTGAGTAATTTTGGGGAGCAGGAGCACCAAGTATTTTAATCTGCATATTGAGGTGAAATGTTCATGCCGACACCTGTGTTTTCTTGGTGTTCTAATGTCTCCTTATTTAAACCACACATGAATTTCAGGAGATGAAACCAGACAAAGGGTGAAGTTTACAGACGATCGTGTGTGCAAGAGCCACCTTCTGGATTGCTGTCCCCATGATATCCTGGCTGGAACAGTAAGTATGTCCTCTGGAATAAGGGATTCTGGTGAGGAGGATGTTGGTACAACTCTTCCTAGTGCAGGGTGGGTGAGTTCTAGGAGAGATCAGACTTTCTGTACTCAGGGAGCAGTCACAATCCTAATTCCACTTCCTGTGACCTGTGTAAGGAACTGCTCTCACTTCTCAAAACAAAAAAAAATACCAAACCAGAAGCTCTCAAAATTCACCTGAAATGCTTTTTCTTTCACAATCCCATGGGAAATTGCAAAATTATTTCTGTTTTAGTAAATTAAGATGATCAGAGCTTACAACTTATCCTGTGGTGGTTCTAAGCCTGTAGCTAGGCTACTGCCCTAGTACACTGCTGCATCTTCAGGTTAGCAAGTGTTTTCTTAGCAGCTGCACTAATCCTTGGAGATTTTCAGTCTCCTCTGCCCAGCCTTGATGGAAGAGCAGCTTTTCTGTCGTTATTGGGGTGATGTTGGCAGATCACATCTCTGGGTGAGTGTTGGTTGTTTGTGTCACTCTGCCCGACTGGTTTCAGACAGTTGTCTCGGCTCCTTTGCTGTTCCCTGTGGGAACAGAGCTGGCCAGTGTTCAAAGGTTTGGCTCACGTGCTACCTTTGAGAGCAGAAGGTGATGCAGGCTTTTAACAGTGAGCTCTTGTGAAGTAAGTGTTCATTTGAGGCTCCCAGATGAAAGCTGCAGCCCGACTTTGGAAAGAAAACTGTGTCTTTTGTCACCATTGCTGTGCAACAGGATGGAGGTGAATATGGATGTTTGAAATCCATCTCTGCCCTTGCTGTTTGCATGAAATACTGTGACAATTCACAGTGTCTGTCCACTTAACCAGGTTGTTGAAAGATGCTCTGGTTATTTCTAGCCCTTCCTGCTGCTCGTTAGGGAGCTGGCTGGACACAGTGGGTCTCCAGCAAAGGGAGGGCTGGCACTGCTGGCCCTGCTTGTGTCACTGCCATAGCAGGAGTGTGGCAGCACTGGTAGAAAGAGCTGTAGCAAAAGCCACCTCTGCTCTGAGCACTCAGACTTGACCTTCTCAGTAGCTGCCTTTGCAGAATAAGATTGGAAAAGCTGAATACCACTCTCTGCACCTGTATTTTTTTTTAATTAATTTGAAGCTCAGATGTGTTTTTCAGTGATTGCTCCATCAGCCTTCATATGACTTCACCTCCATTTCAGAATTTTAAATTTCAGTCCTTTGTATAGGTCACTGTGGTCAGGGTATGTTTCTTGGCACGAGATTGTACAACAGTTTTTTGGGGCCCAAGGGGTGTTTTGAACATGAAGGCTGCCTTCTACCTCTGCTGGCAGGTTTTCAGAAAGAAAGTAAATGGTGAGTTGAAAGAGTAGTTCAACACAAGTGATGTGTGCTAGGTGGTGCCAAAGCATGGAGTCTGAAGTGTTTCAGATGGCTTGTGAGTCTCCTGGGGCAGAGAAGCACCTTGAAGAATTTGTTTCTTCTGCTTCTGTTGTTATTTGTCTTGATTGAGTTGTTCTTTCCCTCTTGCTGTGGAGTTTGTGCTCAGAAACTGCAGGAGCAGGAAGAAAGACTGCTCCTGCATAAGTGATCTTGTGGCTCACTCACATGATTTTGTGGTGGCCTTGAAGTGGGTGTGGAGTTCTGCACCTCTGTCATCGGGTTCCTAGGGGCCAGAGCAAGTATTTGTGCTGCAGATCTGTGTTGAAAGAACATTCATGTTTCTGTCCAGAACAGGAAGAGCATTTCAGCTGTCACTGCTGCCAGTACAGAATGAAACTTAGCTGGAACGTGCAGTGCTTCCTCGTGATCTGAGGCAGCTTCACTGGTGCTTTATTGTGCTCTGCTAAGGAAGAGCTGTATGGGTGAATCTGTCTCAGCTGGCTGGGGTATAATCCACCTCTGGGTGTATTACTGCAGAAATCAGGACCTTGGGCCTCTTGGAAACTTCCAACAGATGCTCCAGGCCTTCTGATGCTTGCTCTGCTGTGTCCTCCCCTAAGGCATTGTTGCTGCTGCATCCTTCATGTGTGCAGATATTCCTCAGTGGGAAGCTGATTGAAGGCAAGCAGGAAGCTGATCCCTTGGGGAGCTGTGCTCAGTGAAATATGATGGGTCCCACTCACTGACCTTCAGAGGCAGATAAGAAAAGGAGTCCAGACTGTAAGCAAAGCTCTGGAATATTCCTAAGAGCTGCAGAAGGCCTTTTGATCTTTGCTTTGTTAAGGTGCACCAGTGTTCCTTGTCGTAAGAGCTGTCATTTTAAGTTGGTTTGTTCCTGTGATTATTCTCTTTTTGGCCCCAGAGACTTGTCTGAACTTACTACTAAATAACCTTTGGTGGTTTTCTTTGGTCTCTGTGGGTAAGGAGGAACATTCTGGGAGAACAGGAATTGGTTTAGGGCTGTTACCAGGGCCCTTGTTATCCACATTGTTTGTGGTGAATGCTGGGTTCTCTCTGTTCATGCTAAGCATATTTCTGTCAGTGAAAGTAATGTAGCACATTGAGAGATGACATCAGCTGGCAATTCTCCTGAATTTCAGCTCCACTAAGAGGTGGACAGATGAGCCTCAAAGCTGCCCAGGTTGAACAAACCTTGGAAATTACATCCAGGGAATTGTGTCCCCTACTGGGAAATATGAATTAAAATCTGTAGGTTCTAGAATTGTTTTTTTGTGGGTTGAGAGGGCGGTCTTTGCTTTCCTTTTTCACTTTGATGAAACTCTGCATCTCTGATCACTGTTAAAGTGTCTTCTTTGTGGAAATTTAATTTTGTGGTGAGTTGCCAGTTCAGGAGATCATAAGAGGTACCTCAGAATGTGGATTTCTCAGCAAATGTGAGCAGGACTAATTGTCAATGACATCTAAATGTATTCAGTCTTTGTATGTATGGGGAATTAAATCTTTGCTCAGGCTCTGCTGGTTGCCTGTCTCACATAGCTGTGTTATAAACCAGCCAGTGTTGACTGGAGCAGGTTGTGGTCTCTGTGGAAAGGGAATCTCTCTCTCCTGGGGATGAGAGGAGACTTTGAGGCAGAAGGGCTGCTGGTCTTACCTGAGTGAGCAAAATCCATGGAAATCTTCTTGCACTAGAACATCTTAAACAACATGGAGGAAGATTTGAGGTTTATAAACTGGTGAGAACTGAATGTTCTTCCCTGAGGAAGATGTTAAGGGATTTGTTGCCTGCTAACAAGCAGGGAGAGGAATAGGGAGCTTCAGAACAAGCATTGTTGGCTGCTCTGAAGTAGTCAGAGCCCCTTCTCTGAAGTGGGGTTAGTGGCTCAGCTTGCAGGAAGAGCTCAGATAAGAATATTTATAAAATGATCTCAGTAGAATGACCAAAAGAATGAAAGATGTGTCACATCATAGAAAGTTATTTTTGTGATAAAATAATAGTAACTCTGTAGCATTCTTTGAAGTGGCTTGCCTGAAGTTGAACATGATCAAGCTCTAAAAGTACCAGCATGCTTTTTTTGTAGGCATTAAATTTCTATCATTAGAGAGCTCAGCAAGAGTATTCTGGATGCAGTGCCTGTTTCTGTAGCCTGCTGCTTGTGGCCTTCTGGTTCTGGTACATCTGAGCAAAATGAGGAAGGCTAAATGGTGGCAAGTCATGTGGATTTTTTTCTTTTTCTGGAAGAGGAAATCCAGTAATAAGCACCTGCTGAAAACCTGAGCATAAACTGGTAGAGTTTGCTTTTGTTGCTGTGCTTCATTCTAAGCACTGATTGTTTCATGTAAGCATCCCCAGTTTTAATTTGTGATATTCCACAGGGATTCAGTGCTATCCCAGTTCAGCTTTCTCTGCAGGTCACTGAGTTGACAGCTGTTGTGCATGTTGTTGACACCTGTTGTTGAGGTTTGGGCTCCTTGGGGCTGGTGGTGACAGTGAAAGAAGAAGGTGGTGGGCTTGGGATGTTCCTTCATGCAATGACATGTACCCTGCCATTCCTACGGTGGCTCACAATTAGGGCTTACATTATTTTGGCTTTCAAAATGCCATTTTCTTTTTCTACTCAAAGAATAAGAGAAATGTTATTTGTTAAAAATTTAAAACGTTGAACTGCAGCTTCCATGTTTTGAGAGCATAATCGACTTGGGTTCATGTGGCTGTTAACTACAAGGTGGGAGAAGAAATAAATTCAAATAGCATGGAGTGCAGTGGGAGGGAAGGGCAGCTTTCTGGGAAGGGAGATGCCCTTAAGTCTCTCATTAAATGGGCTTATGTGTAGGACTTAGCTTTGCTGGGCAGGTTTTCAAATTCCAAGCTGCAGCTGGATATGGGAAGGGTCTGGCTGTGGAATTAACAGTCTGTTATTGCTGAGTGTGGGGTTGTTCATTTCTACTGGCTGTAGACCTTAATCCTTTAAAGTCCTTTTGTTGTTGATAGGAAGCATTCTCTGTATATCCCAGAGTTTGGTATGTCGTATGTTACTTGGGCTCATCCTGACACAGATGTGCATTTCCAGATGAGCTTTAAACAGGGTGCAGGTATATTTTGCTCCAGGGTAGAAGACATTTGCAGTTGGTGCCTGTTGAAGGAGACCCACTTCCCTCCAGCCATTTCTGAGGCTGTCCTGGAACTTAGAGCAGGAGTAGGACTGGACTAAAAGTATTTGGGCTTTTCTAATGTTCCCAGAACACCTAAAAAATGAATTCTGGCAAGTATGTAGTTCTTCTGGCTGGTTCTGGTACTGAGAAGTTAAGAGGAAGCTGCTTTTCGTGAAAAGACTTTATTTTGATGTGATGCAGTTGGCAGGACATACCTGCTGCTCGTTGCCATAATGGAGGGTTCTTATGTGGGTTCTTTTCCTTTCAACAGCGAATGGACCTGGGAGAATGTACAAAGATCCATGACTTGGCTCTGCGAGCAGATTATGAGATTGCAAGTAAAGAGAGAGACCTGTTTTTTGAGCTGGATGTAAGTATGGAGAAATTCTAGGTACTTTTAAGGAAACTAGTTTTTGAAGTTACTGGGCTGAGCAGTAGAACTTGGTGGCCATTTCAGCCCTTCATGTTACTTGATGTGTTACTGGTCCAGAATGTGCAGCCCCTTCCTGAATGTCACCCTGACTGCTGACTTGAGAATGTAGAAGTGTAATTATGGCCTTTGCCACCCCATTACCCAGCTGGTTGGGAGGCTCTCTGGCATTCCTTGGATCCCACACCTGCTTGTACCAGGTTCTTGTAACCTGATGTCCTGTCCCAGAAAGAGATTTAACATTAAAAACCTGCTCAGTATTTTAACTTGTCAGATTTAGCTTTCATTTCACCTTTCTGTGATGGAACAGATCAAGGGAAAGCACAGTTCTGTCTTTCCTTTTCATGTTATTCCAGTGTTTTTGTCTTTGTGCCTGTTGCTCCTGCATAGGAAGGAAGTTCCAGTGCAAAGCCATGTTGATGTGAGGAGCATCCTGTGATGTGTCAGAGTAAAGGAACTGGGTCAGGTTTACAGGGCAGGGGTCAAATGTAACTTATTCTGCAAAGTGTCATTTGGTTTCTTTCTCAAAGCGTCTGTTCTTGAGGTTGTTTGAGCATTATACAGGATTGCAGCTGCTGGCTGTCAAAGCTACATCTGGCACAGAGAGCACCTTCATTCATAATTTTGTCTGATCATGCAGGCGATGGATCACCTGGAATCCTTCATTGCAGAGTGTGACAGGAGAACAGAACTGGCCAAGAAACGCCTGGCTGAGACACAGGAAGAGATCAGTGCTGAAGTGTCTGCAAAGGTATTGGCCTCTCATTTAAACATTAGCTCTGAAAGTCTCAGTGGGAGCACTGGTGCTCTGTTTCTCTGACAGCAGTGATACTGGGGAGTTAGGCTTCAGAGGATTTGGGGATTCCAGTCATCCTCCTCAAGGAGCTGCTCTGGCCATTCTGGAGACAAAGAGCACCGTGCACTCCAAGAGATTGCTTTAGCATGGAAATAAAGCATATTGGTTTCTTCCCTGTGCTATGAAACGTTACCATAATAATTCAGAATAGTAAATCCATCATCCCATGATTTTTGTTTCATTTAACAAGTGCTCATGGAGTTTTCTTTTTGGGAACTCGCCTAATTGGGCCAACACAAGACATTTCTGAAGATGATTTTGTGGCCTCTGTGCTGACCTGTAAGCCAGAAATGATTGGCAGATCGTGATCTCTCCACATCCAGTTTCTCTCTTTACCATATATCTGTGACTGCACTGGCATTGGTCCACCAGTCCCTTTTGGTGGGGACTCTTGGAGGTTCATGGTCATCTTCCAACAACAGATTTCATTACACAGTATTTCTTAAAAAAAAAAAAAAAAAAAGTCCTGCAAGCTTTATCACATTTTTGTCTTACTAAAAACTAACTATTCTCTGCAGGCAGAGAAAGTACATGAGCTGAATGAAGATATTGGAAAACTCCTAGCTAAAGCTGAACAGCTGGGAGCTGAAGGAAATGTTGATGAGTCTCAAAAGATCCTGATGGAAGTGGAGAAAGTCCGAGCGAAAAAGAAAGAGGCAGAGGTACAGTGTTTGCTCTCCTGTGAGTTGTCACAGGAGCCTGGGCTAGGCTGGGTGGTTTCTACCTCTCTTCCTGTGTGCTAGCAATCAGGTGGCAGTGTGGTGTGGTGGATGAAAAAATTTTTAGAAACTTTTGCCTAGTGCAGAGAGCTGAGTGAGGCAGGGAGGACTTCACCCTCTGAAATCCTTGGTCACCAGTCCCTTGCAGGGATAGACTGTTGGGTTAGCTGTGCCCACAAAGCCCTTGTGTGGCACCTCCTTTGTGTGAGGCTGGGTTCTGATTCTTCAAAGCAGTTCTTTGCAGGGGTTTCCCTGGAGGGTTGTGTCTGTGTAAGGGTTCCCTGACATTTGTGTGGGGTTTTTTTGCCTCCCTGTAGGAAGAATACCGAAATTCAATGCCTGCATCCAGTTTCCAGCAGCAGAAGCTGCGTGTGTGTGAAGTCTGTTCAGCATATCTGGGTCTCCATGACAACGACCGGCGTCTTGCTGACCACTTCGGAGGCAAATTACACTTGGGTTTCATTCAGATTCGTGAGAAACTCGATCAGCTGAGGGTAATCCTCTCTGTTTTAAACCTTCTCTTTGTACTTCTGAAGACCTTGAACACTTGTATTAAATTAATACAGAATTCTTTGCAGAGGGCTGGTAAAAGCTCAGAAATTTCCGATTGCAGAATCCCCAAAACATCAAACGGAGCTTTGTTTAGCTTTGTCTTGGGCTCTGTTCTGTCTTTTCTGGGTGACTAAATATGTACCCTCAGAATCAGCCAAACCAGAGCACTGCTGTAATTCATTCCTTGGAGCTTCAGTACAGTCATTCTCATTAACATGACTGAAATTTGTTACTCTGGGTTTTTTTTGACTTTGAAACCTCTTAATGAAATGTTTGAACTGAAGTTTCACACGGTTCTGTCATTGAAAAGATCTTGAGTAGCTGAAGCCATTAGGAGTTTTCCAGAATGATTCGTAATGGGCTGTGGTACTGGCCTTGCTTGCAAACAGAGACCTTTAGCTGAGTAAGAGTTGTGATTCTTATGCCTCACTTACTGTGCATTGAGGTCAGTGCCTCAACTGAGAAAAATGAGACCCTTGATAGGCATCTTAACTTAGCACATAAAATGCAGTGAAATGGTTCTTTGTCTTGCTATTGGAATGGTCTTCCTGCAGATCTGACCTGTTACTGTATGGCTGAAATATGATGTGGATTTATTTTTTTCCCCTAGAAAACAGTGGCAGAGAAGCAAGAGAAGAGAAACCAGGATCGTTTGAGACGGAGAGAGGAGAGAGAACGAGAGGAGAGGATGGGCAGACGGTGAGTGGGACCTGGGAACTGGCCTGTGAGGTTTAGAAGTACATGAGCACTGCAGGAATTAAGCATCTGCTTCTGGAGTGGCTGTTGGATGTGCTTCAGATGGTGTGTGAGCATCTTGGGACACTCACCTTAGAGTGATTGTACACATATTTCAACCTCCACTCTGTCTAAAAGATGGGAGTTCCCTGTAGTCTTCAGGCATGTATTGGTCCAATCCCTGTCTTAGGGAATCTGAGTCTGGATGAAATACCCTCATCCAGAGCATCTGAGTGGGAAAGTTTAGGATGAGTGAGGACTAGGCTTGCTCAAAAGGCAGTAGTCATACAGAAATTCCCTGGACAACCCTCCTCACTGCTTGGAGGTGACAAAAGGCTGGACTGCCTGTAACTTTCCTACAATAAGCGAGGTCCTTTTGGCACAGCTTTGGCAAGCATTTCCTAAGGAAGCTGAAGGATCCCAAGGAGTGGCTGCTTCTGGTGGTTGTAGCTATGTGTGTCACCTTCTGCTCAGATGTCTGTAATTCCTGAGCAGTGGGAGGGGCTGGAGCATTGGTTTTCTCAGGACAAGGTCTTCTGCATCTTGCCAGCTAAACTGGAAAAACAATTTCTTCTGTACTTGAACTGCAGAGTCATCTTGTGTGTAAACAGCTGAGTTAAACAGCCTGGTGTGGGGAGGTGGTTATTTGCAGGGGTCAGGCAGAGGAAGTGGCTGGGTAGGAATGCTGTTCTGATTGTCACAGCATCTCCCTGGTTACCTCGTGTGCTTCTCCTCATGTACTTGTTGCATCAAAAAGACCCCAACCTTGCTGCAGGTGCAGAGATAGTTTTGAAACTCAGAGTCAGCTGAAGGGTGACTTTGTCTGAGGAATATGAGCTTAATAACTGCAGTGTGCTCTAAGATGGCTCTGGCTATACATTGCTGGAATTGCTGACAAATACCAGCATGAAGCAGCATGGTGATTTTAGTGTATTATGAAGATGTGAGCCCTAAACTGTTATTCATTATCCATATTATTTTCTGCATGTTATGCATAACTCCAGTTAGGGTGTTTCATGTGGGTTTTCTCTGGGGATTGCCTGGTGTGATCTCAAGGAGCAGTTCATGCTACAGCTTTCTGTCAAATTGTAGCACTTCATGGAGAGCCTCACAACTTTGTTATCCATGCAACTGTAATCCAGTTGAGTTTGGGAGCTGCAGCATCTGGAAGTAGCTTATGAGTGCAGGAGTTAATCAAAAGGGACTACTGTTGCTGCTGCTGTGGTCAGAGATGTGGAAGTGAAATGGGAAGTGGCTTTTCATACAGCTGCTTCGTGGCAGACCCACAGCAGGAGCCTGCCTAACATGGGCTCAGTTTATCTCCATGGTGCCTCTTCTTCCTGGAGGTCATTTCTCTGTGAAAATTGCTCAACAGAGTTGTTCAGGAAGAACCCTCTGGATCTCTTTGTTGATCCACATCTTCTCAAAATGCTGGTTTTCTTCCTTCTGTGGTGTGCCTGTGGTTTTGTTTTAGTGTTTTTTTTAAAAAAAAAAACCCCAAGCCCTCAATTCTTGAAAGCTAAAGAGCCTCTCGTGTTCACAGGTAGTCCATATGTGGATGCATCTGATGAGGGGGTTTGAAAGCTGTTTTGAATGTTTATTTAAGGCTCAAAATAGGAAAGCTTTGGAGCTGGGCTAAAGCCTGAGTCCTTGCTGTTCCATATGTGACAGTACTTAGAGACTGTGGCTTTGCTCTGGCTCTGTGCAGAGGCACCTGTGTGTTCCAAAGAAAAAACTTATTATGAAGGATTCAGGAGTGCCATAAAGAAGAGGTCAAATCAATTGCCTCTCCAAAATGAGAACTTGACCAGAGGGAGGACAGTAGTTCTGCCAGTGGACACTCAGTGTCAGAACTGAGGTTAGAGTCCAGATTTCTTGGTCACCTGTCTGCTGGGAGCTGTGCACGCCATGCTCACAGAGGCATTTTTCCATCAAAAACTAATTGGTGACTTCTACCACCTTTCAGACAGCCTCTCTTATCCAGAGCTTGGTATTTTAAGGAACCACAGGAAACATTTTTCCTTCAGAACTCTTGTCATATTCTCCTATATAGCACCTTCATGGTGTTACTTTAGTAAGAGGAAGAGTATGGCTTGACTTTGGGAGTCTTTGGTGAGTGACAGGCACTGTGACATCCCTGGAAAACTGTGGATTCCCTTGTGAAACCCTGCCTCTCATAGCTGTAATGAATTTGTCAATAAACTGTGATTCCACATAGGAATGAGTGAACTGGATTGCCACCCTAGTGGTAATAAACACAAATCTTGTGTGATGTTGCTGGTGGCTATTGGGTACCCAGTAATCTCTGAAGACTGGAATTCTGTGGGGAAGTGGCATGCTGGAAATGCAGACCTTGGTGTTTGCTTCCAGAGCACACCAGCAAACAAGTCTGGTGAAGGTCCCTAATGGATTTCCTGTGTGTTAAACTGGACAAAAGACAGGTTATGAAACTCAGCAGAAAGTCTCTGTGATACAGGGACAAAAAAAAAGAGGAAAGAATAAATAAAATAGACTTGCTCTGCCTCTTGCTCCTATGGACAGCAGTCTTCTTTTGTCTCCTGCTGTACAATGATTCAGCCTAGTAAGGACAATGCTTGTTTTGTTGGATACTTCCTGAGTTCTGAAGTTTGGTTCTAGGGAGTGATTATCAGATGGTTTTTGTGCATACTCCTGCTCGGATGATAGGCATGTAATGGCAGCCAGACTTTTCAGGGGATGTGGAAGGGCTTTTGTGGATGTGTGCACTAGTGGTTCAGAATAAAGTGATCAAGAGGAAAAAGAACATTAAGAACTTGGAGTAATTACAACCACAAAAAAAAGTCCAGCTGCCTGCCAGGTATCTACAGGAGGTGCTGCTGCTCTGTCAGGTTCTGTTACGTGGGGATGGAGGTGTGTGCTTACGGCCTTGCTCTCCTGGTTTATCAGCTTTTCCTTCACCTGGTCATGTGTTGCCACAGTGCATGTTTCATTTGCAGACTCCAAGTTCTGCTCTACTTTGTTTACAGTCCTTACCTGAATTCCTTTCTAAATCTGGGGGCTTTTTTTACTTTCTGCCAGGACTGAATAATCCCACTTCACTGCGAAGACATGCCAGTGCACACACATTTTCTTAATCTTGTCTTATCCAGGCATGGTTTTAAATGATGTTATTAAAACAGATGCTTCTCTGTTGCTTCTTAAATTCTTGTCTGTGTGTAGCTTTCATGTCAAGGTGCCAGAACAGTTCTGTGGGGTTTAAATGGAACCTCTGTGGGAGTCTGTGTGCAGTGGGGAGCAGTTACAGGAGAGAGTCTCTAAGTCATTAAACAGGGAGAGGAGCCACTTCTTAATTAAAGCAAAACAAGACTGTTCAGACAGCGTGTGATGTTCAGCTGGCTCTGAAATGTGGCCTCGGAGGAGGAGGGAGGGTGTAGCTTCCATGTGCAGAGGTATTTTAAGTGGTGCTGAGTAATGGTGCTGCTGAAGTTGAAAGAATTCTGCAGTTGTTATTTACAAAGTGTCAAGAGCTACTGCTGACAGCAATAAGCTCCGAGTGCCACACACGAGCTCTGAAGCTCGTGGAATGTAAGAAAGGATAACAAGGCCTGATTATTCTTCTCAAGTGCTTTCTAAGGATTTTCAGTTTATCTCTGTCACTTGTCAGTAATAGTTCTTCTCTTGTGGCTGTGTCCTCTATTTTTTCCTGGTTATTTTTCCCAAAATATTGAAAATATTTTTCAATATTAAAATATATAAAAAAAATATTGATGCAAATTTCCTTCTAATGTTTGGTAAACAAATACAAGGAGTGAGAAAAGGCTTTTTTTTTTTATTAAAGCCTCTTTAACATGCAACTGCCTTAAAGGAAGCAAAATGAGAAGACTGGCAGATGTCTTTCTGACTGGAGAATGGCACATCTTGAAAATGTTAAGAGTTGATCCAGCTGCTGTTAGGCTGCAGGGAGTAAAGAGTACGTAACAAGTATGCACAGAAAATTAGTTGGAAAGGTTCATTTGGGTGCTTTGTTAATAGTGCCTGGTTTCTAGACCTTTTCTCTAGTGACAGGAAGCTCATTGTGAAGAAATGTATGTTTTCCAGTTTTTAACAAATTCTTCTTGCTCCTAAAATTGAAGCTAAAAGAATTATTTATTTGCAAGCTTTTTAAAAAAAAAAAACCTAATATATCACTTGAGGTATTGATTATTCCTGTGAAGAGCTGCCAGAGTGGATGAATTTTCCTACTGAAAACCCACTGGCTGTATCATAACTTCTCTCACTTAATTCCCCTCTTCTTTTTAGGTCTGGATCAAGAAATAGAGATCGTCGAAGGTGAGTGCCCAGTTCTGCAGTTCTCCCAAATGCCTGTTTGTGTTTCTCCCTAGCTACTGAGGTTTTTCCTGTGTCTTACAATGGAGTTCAATGCCTCAGTGTCTGGTTTGCTCCCTGAAAGAGATGGCAAGTGCAGTTATGGGCACCTCAGTGGTGCTGCTCAGCTTGGTGTGGCTGGTTGGGCTGTAGAGCAGGTGCTCAGTAGCCTGGCCAGGATGGGCTCCAGAGTGTGAGCCCATGAATGTCCTCAAGGCCTCTTTCAGTAAATGCCTGATATATTTCCATGATTGTAATGTCTGAAGTATCTGTTATATATATATTACCTCAGATGTGAAAATACAGAGATTTGAGATTGAAACCCCCATGTCTCTGGGAAGAGCTTGCCTTAATGCTATGGCAACATTCTCTGTGATAAGGGACATGGACATCTCCCTGTCTGCTGCTTTCCTTTGGCATCTTTCTTATTATTAGAGCAGGGTGAAATAAAAATGCTTCTGAAGTACGAGTATCTTCACAAGGAAGGTTCTCTTAGGGTAATTTCACAGGCCACTTCCTTTGGCCTCTCTTCTAATTACATGGGCCTCACTTGTGAGCGATGCAGGGTTGTAAGCTCTGCTCTGGCCCTTACTACATGCTTACAGTAATGGTGGGAGCTTTTTCTATAAGCTTTCCAGCAAACTGAGTAAGCCACTGGCATTTTGTTGGCAGCACAAGGCCCAGGAGAACTCAGCTGCCCACTCTGTGGGTGTGGGTGCTCAGCCCTGGGTGTCAGCAGGGATGTGGGGGGCAGGGGGTGGGCTGTGTTGATGCTCTGGGTATTTGTTACTCAGGAGAGTCTGAGGTAGCTCAGGGGTGCAGATCTGAGGCATTGAGACACTCTGTGTTCCCTCCAGATCACGGTCTCGGGAGCGGAGGCGGAGACGCTCCAGATCAGCTTCCCGGGAACGGCGGAAGTCTCGCTCCCGCTCCCGGGACCGACACAGGCGCCACCGGAGCCGTTCCCGCAGCCACAGCAGAGGGCACCGCCGCGGCTCCAGAGACAGGAGCTCAAAACACAAGTATGTATTCCCAACAGGAGTGCATCTGGAAAGGGGAGTCCTTGGCTCATAGTGACCTCTCTAGCCCATAAAGCGAGCAGGAGTGTGGCAGGGTTCTCCAGAGCAGCTGTGGTGGCCTGGGCCAGCTCCTGGGCCAAAGCAGGATTTCCCAGGGGCCTCACGTGAGGGCAGCAGCTGTACAGCAAGATCCCAGCTGAGAGGAGAGTCTAGGAGATAGAACAGGTTCCCTGATCCAGTGCTGAGCCTCAAGAGGCTCCTTGGATTGGAAGCAGCATGAAGACTCCCTGAGCTAACTGAGCTTCCCTGGGCCAAGTGTCTTAGAGACAGTTTGGATGTTACACTTCTGCAGTTGCTTTCTGCTTCCCAGATTCCTTCTCTCAGTGCTGACACTGGATAGGAGTCTATGATTTGATATCTGGGGGGAGTCTTCCGTTAGAAGGCTGCTTGGAGAGAAAGAATTCTTTAGATTCTTAGAATCAGTGCTTTTTCTTCCTGAAAAACAAAAATACAGGAGGAGTATGCCATTCTTCTGTCTCGGAGAAGCACTATAGTCCAAATAAAGGCTTAAAGGTTTTCTGAAATTCAGCAAAACAGCTTCTGTATTGGAGGAAGGATGAGGCAAGTGTGTGTAGAGTATTAGAAAAAATGAGTGGAATCATTGTGTTCCCTTACAGCTCTTCTAAGCCCAGGAGCAAGTCTGCCTCCAGGTGCTTGCCGAGGTTAGATCTGGATTTTTTTAGACTCCTGGTTAATAGGGGAGTGCTCTAGCACTGATTAGGCACCAGCACTTAAGTACAATTCTAGAAACAAACCTATTGTTGTGTGTCTTGTGTCAGTTTAGCTAAGGGTTAAGAACAGCTTTTCTTTTAAAGGTTCCTGGTGAAGGGGAGGGAAATAATGGTCTGAAAAATAAGTCTTAATAATTGAGGGGGGGTGTAAATACTGTTGATTCTCCAATGGCTGAGATACTAAAGTGCTTTTTTAAATCTGTCTTGAACATGAAAAATAAAGAAAAGAAGTTTGGACAATTAGGAAGTGAGGAAGATCCTGTAATAACTATTACTAAAGAGCAGGTAAGGGATTACTTCGGAACCCTTGAACGTATCCAAACCAGCCCATTGAGATTGCAGGGGGATTGACCAGCTGACACACCTGCACAAAATTGCTGAGAGCTGGGGACAGCCCAGGATCAGTTTAAGAAAACATAACAAAAACAAGAGAACAAACAGAAAAACCCTGCTTCCTGAAAGAGGGTAGCTTCTGTTTTCACACTGAGAGTTAAAAAAATCTGCCCTCAGGTTCTGCTGGCCTGAGGTCTCTGTTGCTGAAAGAAATGGAGAGTGTCACAGGATCTGGAGATCTCAGGGTAGGAAGTCTGCAGGCAGAAGTCATTGTTGTGGAAAAGGTAGAGAGTTAATGTCATCAAACAGACTGATGTTAAATGACACAATTTAATGAAAATGAAGTGGCTGTTGGGTTTTGATATATCAATTTTGCAGCATTTTCAAACCTTAAAATCGACAAGAATGAAAGTGGAACCTCTAAGGTACCTTCTGTTGTGACTGTAAAAAAACCTGTGTACTGAGCCTTGGAGTAAAATATAGGAGCCTCTGCTGAGCTCACTCAGGATCAGCTCCTTTTGAATCCTGCTATTCCCTAAGCTGGCAGGAATCACACAAGAAACAGCCTTTCAGATTAGACCTAATGTGAAGGCTCCTGTTTAATTCTGCGTGGGCTGACACAGGGAAGCGCTGCTGAAAATCTGTGGCTGTGAAAAGATGCGCCCATGCTGTGGGCTGTGAATAGAAATCTGTATCCTCCTGACTTTGAACCCAGGATGCTGCCAAAGCATTTGTCAAGGATGCAAAGTGAGAAACTCAGGGCGGAGCCAGCAGAGAATCCAGTTGGTATTTAAAGCAGTTGAGCAGAAAGCTAGTAGCTTAGGGCTTAATAAAAAAGTGCTCTGGAAGCCATGAACCGAGCTGAGTCAGAGACGAGGAAGAAACTGTAGGCACTTCAGGATGGCCCAGAAAAACAGTAAGGGGCGCAGGGAAGAACTGAGAGAGCCCCTGTGGCAACAGCTTGAAAGGATCACTCAGGAAGGAGCAACAAAGGCTGTGCTGTGCTCTCAGCGCTGCAGAGAAAGAAACCTCGCAGAGGGCCCAGAGCTGCTGTCATGGGGGACCCACTCCCCGTGCCACAGTACCCAGGCACGTTCCTGAACTTGTATCCCACAGCCCTGCTAGGGAAAGATGTTGCTTGGTGGGTATTTGACAATTTTTAGTTGTGAAGCTGATAGCGATGGTTTACTTTGTACTTCAGATCTTCTAGAGATCGATCTTCAAGAGAAAAGTCCCGAGACAGAGAGAGGAAAGAGAAGAGCTCTTCTGAGAGGCGGCACGAGAGCACAAATGGCAAATCTCGTTCCAAGAGGTCAGAAGAGAGAGAAGCTGGAGAGATCTGAACTCAAACGATCTGTGTTGCACTGTAAATAGTCTGATAAACATTCTACACAAAGCCTAAATTTCCCATTTATATTTACTGAATACAACTCATCTTTTGTAGTTTGGGATTTTTATTGTTTGGCAGATAGCTGTGAGTTTGTAGAGACACAGAGTTACGTACTGTTTAACAGGATTTTGTTTTAGTAGGAATAAATAAATCTGAATTGAATGGATGGTTTTCAGTCCAGGCCAGTGTGGACACCCCGTGTTTGTCCTGACGCAGCGAGCGCAGCGGTCGGGGCCATGCTGTGCCTGGAGCCCTGAGCTGCCCTGACCTTTGTAACGCTTCAGCCCTTTCCAAAAGACCCACCTGACCCTCTGTGAGCACACCAGTAGCACTGGTTCTCAATTATATTTTTCCCTTCTGTTTATATATGTTAAAAGAAAATTCAGATTTTATTTTTTTTCTTCCTTTTAGTACTTAGCCACTTCATTTTTGTCTCCAGCACTTGAGAGTTGCCTCACTTGCCCAGCTAAGGCAAAACAGACAAAATTTGGCCCTGATCTATACTGAGAGCTGTTTGTCATTGAGGATGACCAAATGAGCTGAAACACATTTCTAAGCTGGGCTCAAGTCTGGTTTTTACTACCTTTACAGCTCAGATAGTTGGTGTGAGCAAAGCAGTGGGAAACCTGGCTGGTTTCTTTTCTAGAGAAGCACAGCCACAGCTCATCTGCCTATTTACTGTGCACTGCAGTCAGAGCTTCCCCGCGGGGCTTTCTGAGCTGCAGCCGAAAGCGTTGGTGTGTTTCCCGAGGCCAGTCAGGCAGAATGTGCCGAGGGGCAGGGGCGGATCGGGCTGGAGCCCGTGCCGGTGTGTGCCCTCCGGGGTCACCGGCCGTGTCCCCAGGCCCGTGGGGGGCTCTGCCCGTTGTCACTCGCTGATTTGTACCTGCGTTTGTTTCCCACGAGAGCAGAAGGCGCCTGGCTGTGCCAGCCCCAGGCTCGGCATTTTGTGGGACCGGTGTGAGTGAAGCCCTTGTGCCTCGCCGAGGCGGGCAGGAGCCTGGCGGCCGCTCGTTAACACGCTGCGGTTAATTGCCGCCGTTAATTGCCGTTCCCAGGGGCGGGCTCCCCCCTTCCTCCATTCTCTCCTTTCCCCCTTCCCCCCGAACGCGGCTCCGGTTCCGCCGCGGTGCTCTCCCGGTGTCAGTCCCTAGTGCATGCCCCCCTCCCCTGTCCGTTTTTACAATGAATTCCGCGGTTTCACGTGTTGTTTTTGTAACCTCCGTGTGGGGCGCGGGGGGCGGCGGGCGCGCGCTCGGGGTGCCTGTACGTGCCTGTGCTGTTCTCCCGCGGTCTGAGCGCATTAAAGATCTGTGTTTGTGGTTCCCGCTGCTGCCCGGTCTCGTTCTTGCGGGTTCTCCGCCCGCGCCGCCGCCCAAACCGGACGGGCCGGGCCCCGCCGCTCCGGGCGGAAGCGTGCCCTGCGTGATGACGTCACTTCCGCCGGTGGGCGGTGGGGGGATGGAGGCGGAAGTGACGGCGGTAGTGGCGGCGGCGGCGCGGGGTGAGTGCGGAGCGGGGCGGGCCGGGGCCAGGGGGTGACCCGGGCGGGGG